CATGAATAAATACAGTCTAAAAAGAGTTTGTACAAAGTCTGCTTTTCTTATATTGGAAATAGCTGATTTGTACCTTCTCATAAAGTCTTTTTTGTGATTCGAGTTCCAGACGTCTCATTTCTAGGTCTTCGGCTGTGGTAGCAATTTCTCGATCTCTCATATGTACCTATGGCCAAACAACAAACTGTGAATACCAAAAAGAATTTACAAGATAATTTTTGTTTAATAGATTTAGCAATCTTGTGACCTAACACCCACTAAAAGTATTTAAAATGATAGGTGTTGGGTTTTTGAAACGAGAGTAACTGACAATATATTAACATTCACTGTGGAATCGAGGAATAATGTCTGAGTTAATGTTAATTTTCTAAAAAAGAAAGCACAATTACCATATGCTCATCTACCCAGACTGGGAGAACAGATGGCAGTTCTTACCATATTACATTAGCCAATATTATGGGTTAGAAAAACTTGAGCAACTTAAATTTGGGGTGGATAAAAATATGGAATGTTTAATCTTATTAAATGTAACATTTATTTAATGTTCTTTTTGATTAAACTTCTATACTTCTATAAATTCAGTCTGGCAACTAGTTTAAATTTACCTTGGACTATTCGATCTGTATGTGTCCTGCTTGGACTTAGTAAATTGAAAGTTCACTTTTCTTCAAAATTTGATTACTTGCAAGCTTTTCACTCCTATACATTAAGGGGTTTGCATAAGGCATTCTTTAACCTAGAGAATCTTAGGAATTATCTTAAATACTTGGCGGGCTAGAGCCCCAATTTTTTAGGGGTGAGAATGAAATACATGGTATATGTTTCAGAAAAAAACAAAACAAAACAAACTATAACCCATCAGCCACCTGAGCCCGTTCATTTATTCAGTAAACATTTAATGATTGCATTACTATCATTACTACCTGCAATCATAAGGCAAAGTGTTAGATATTGTAAAGATAAAAGACACACTATCAAATACCTATAACAGGAGAAACAAATAGTAAAACTGAGAATACAGCGGCATGTGCAAGAAGGACACGTATCCAAGAAGGGAAAAAACCACGGACTGGCAACAGTTCCACTGCAGGAGGTTACCAGGAGAGCAGGTGGCTCAAAGGTGGGGATACCTGAGCTCATGAAGCAAGAGTAGTGACAACGTCAAGAGGTGGAGGAGAGGTCTGGCAGAGCAAATAACGATTTTTAGGAATTTCAATTACAGAAGCTCTTTCGCTTAGGAATTTTCAGAGACACAAAAAGCTATGTGCCAGAGCAAAACCAGATCAACTTTGCTTGCTGCTAACAGATGTCCATGGTCACTGTAAGTCTCACTTTGGACTCAAGCAGTCTTTCCTGCCGGAGCTTGAACTGTGCGTAGAGAAGCTTTTTCAGGTTAGCAGGGTCAGGCTCACCATCAGATTAGGGTGACGGCAGGATAGGAGGTTGGAAGGGTGGGCAGAGGCCAGATCACACCACTGAAAGGACTTGAGAGGATTCTCTGACCAAAAAATTGCCTTCCACTATCTCAAAGGGGTTTGGAACCATGAGGTCAAGTTGTAGGCCTGTATTACTTTTAGAGAACATATACTTTTCTAGAATAATGAGTTATCAACCTCATTCACTAGATGAGAAAATTAAAAGGAATCAGAGGGCCGGCCCCGTGGCATAGCAGTTAAGCGCATGCACTCCGCTGCTGGTGGCCCAGGTTCAGATCCTGGGCGTGCACTGATGCACCGCTTGTCAGGCCATGCTGTGGCGGCCTCCCACATAAAGCGGAAGAAGATGGGCATGGATGTTAGCTCAGGGCCAGTCTTCCTCAGCAAAAAGAGGAGGATTGGCATGGATGTTAGCTCAGGGCTGATCTTCCTCACAAAAAAAAAAAAAGGAATCAGAGATTTTAAAAACCAATTTAAAATTAACTGGCTTTAAACAAAACTAAAAGTATTACCTCATGCTATAAAAAGAGATAAGAGATTTCCAATACAGATGACTTAAAAATACTTTAAAAGATTTAAAAAATATTTAGTATTTTATTAAAACTTGTTTTGAAACTCTCTAAATTAGTCTATAACTTCAATGCAATCCTAACAAAAATTCCAATAGGATAGGGGAGGTGGGGATTCAGAGAGAGAGAGAGTGATAAAATTTTCAAAGTCTATTTGCAGTGATAAACATTTAAGAATACTGAAGAAAACTCTAAAAGGCAGACTAATAGTGGGAATCAGGTCTACTAGTTAGTAAAACATTACAAAGTTGTTTTTCAAACAGTGTGGTACTGGCTTAGGAAAAGACAGAGCAATGGGGAGATCAAGTATATATGGAAATATAACATTTAATAACCATCAGTTGGCAAATGACTTTGCTAATATTCAACAAATGGTGTTGGAACAACTGACTTGCCTTTGGAAAGAAGATTGATCCCTAACTTATTCTTTTTTTTTTTTGTGAGGAAGATAGGCCCTGAGCTAACATCTGATGCCAATCCTCCTCTTTTTGCTGAGGAAGACTGACCCTGGGCTAACATCCCTGCTCATCTTCCTCTACCCCATATTGGATGCCGCCACAACATGGCTCGAAAAGCGGTGCGTCGGTGCGCGCCCGGGATCCGAACTGGCAAACCCCGGGCCGCCAAGTGGAGTGCGCGCACTTAACTGCTTGCGCCACCGGGCCGGCCCCCCTAACTTATTCTTTACTTTCAATTTTCAGACACATCAGGGGTTGGCAAACTTATTCTGTAAAGGGTCACAGAGTAAATATTTAAGGCTTTGTGGATCACAGTTTCTGTCACAACTATCCACCTCTGCCACCAAAGGCAATACGTAAACAAACAGATGTGACTGTGTTCCAACAAATCTTTACTCATGAACACTGAAATCTGAATTTCCTGTTTTAAAAAATTTAATTTTTGTCATGAAATAGTGGCTTTTTTTCTTTTTTAATTGATGTTTTCATAGTTTATAACATTGTGAAATTTTGGGTTGTAGGTTATTGTTTGTCCATCACCATATATATGACTCCCTTCACCCCTTGTGCCCACCCCCTACCCCCACTGTCC